CAAAGGTCAAGGCGGCGAGGCAATCAGCTGGCTGCTGTGGCCCTGATCCAGAGCACAGGGCAGGCACACCCTGCCCCGAGCAGAGGGCTGAGGTGGCTGGTAGCGTGACTGAGACACGGGTACCAACTGCCCTGCCTGTGCCAGAGGGGCATCTCTCCCCTCCTCCACTCTGTTTTGTGATAAACCTTCAAATCAAGGAGTGTGAAGAGATGGGGATTGCCCCTGCTCCCGTCCAACCCCAGGGCCGGCAAGTGGAAAGCAAGACACCCCCTCCCTTCTCCTGGATCACAGCCAACAGCCTGAAGGGACCTCTAGTTCCAAAGGTCCCAGTGGAGAGGAGGAAGAACACGCAAAAAGGAGAGCTTTCCAGGCCCTTCTGACAGCTCTCACACAGACACCCTCTGCACCTCATCTCCAAACCAGCCAGGACTGCCTCTGCCCCTCTGATTTATTTACCCAGTGTTTACGATCCACATCTTCGTCAGCATCCCACTTGCGCGTTAAGAAAGGGTGCTTTTTACTGATTATTTCCCCTTCAAAGAAAGTAGTGAGGGTTGGGTACTCCTAGGAGAGAAGAGAGACAAAACGAGAGGTCAGAACTTAGAAACTCAAATTGAGATAGAGGTGCACGTTCTGTTTTGTGATAAACCTTCAAATCAAGGAGTGTGAAGAGATGGGGATTGCCCCTGCTCCCGTCCAACCCCAGGGCCGGCAAGTGGAAAGCAAGACACCCCCTCCCTTCTCCTGGATCACAGCCAACAGCCTGAAGGGACCTCTAGTTCCAAAGGTCCCAGTGGAGAGGAGGAAGAACACGCAAAAAGGAGAGCTTTCCAGGCCCTTCTGACAGCTCTCCCACAGACACCCTCTGCACCTCATCTCCAAACCAGCCAGGACTGCCTCTGCCCCTCTGATTTACTTACCCAGTGTTTACGATCCACATCTTCGTCAGCATCCCACTTGCGCGTTAAGAAAGGGTGCTTTTTACTGATTATTTCCCCTTCAAAGAAAGTAGTGAGGGTTGGGTACTCCTAGGAGAGAAGAGAGACAAACAAGAGGTCAGAACTTAGAAACTCAAACAGAGACAGAGGTGCACACGCTCAGCAAAAAGCAGCATCTTGCTGCAAAAGCTCCAGATAATCCGAGGTCGGTGCTCCCGAACCTCCAAACAGCACATGGACTCGTCCTGCCCCACAGCTCTTAAGCCTGACTTGGACACCCAAGTCTTCTCCCTCTTATTCCAGCCTCTCCGTTCAGTTCATGAAATCAGAAGGAGCTGTGTCAGAGTTGGGCTGTGGGGAATCTCCCAGCTGGACAATCACAAGTGACTGGTTACAGCCAGCACCACTCCCCAGCAGACACCCAGGGCTACAAAGCCCAAGGGTTGGATAAAGCCACCCCAGCAGGGAGAAGGTGCTCCCCTTCAGCTTTGGATTGGCACCTAATTAGGAAAACACAGCCAGGGAATAAGGGCAAAGAAGCTTCTCCAAGCCTTCCCGTGTAACGACAGACACGTGGTGCACCGCAGCTGAAAGAAGCATCACCCCTGGGAGACAGTTCTCACCAACTGTCCAACACCGTGAGCAGATCTTAGAGGACAGACAGGGAAGGAAGCATGTAAATATCTGACTGTTTGGGTTTATTTGGTTTCAGCGACGCTGCACCACTGGTAGAGCACCTAAAGCTGACTGCAGGGTCAGATTCGTTTCTGCTCAGACCTTACGGGATGCCAGAGAAGTTTCCCTTGTTTGGGACTCTCATCAAGGCATATCATATTTGCTTGACATGCCAAGAACAACAGACTGAAGCAATTAAACTACTCCATGGTCAAACTTATTGCACGCTCAGTCCTTCCACTTGCTATTTCTGGTAGCAGCTTCTCCCACTCCACCAGGAAAAAGAAAACCTTTTACACAGCACCTTTTCTTGTTGTTTTGCAATTAACACTCACCTCTGTAAGGCCTTTAATCTTCAAGTATCCACAGAGATAGGAGTTTTCCATATCCACATGCTAGAAAAGAGTGCAAAGTCCAACCATAAGCATACGCATGAAGGCATCCAGTTGATCCAAAGCAGCTTCTAACCCCTCCAAGGATAATTTCAGCTTCAGCTGGTACAGACTTTCCATCTTACTGCCCAACACTCACACTGGCAGCCCTTCCCCACAGCTGGGAACCATTTGGAAAGATCATTTACAGGTGCCCAGCTCACCCTTGACAGCCCCCACATCCCAGGTCTGACAACACCCTGTGTGGTTCCAGCTCCATCACACTGAGGCAGCAGCCTCTGCTCAGAGGTCTCTGCTGGGAAACAAACCCCCCCTCCTCTCCTCCCAGAAGGAAGCAGACTCACAGTTTTCTCCAAGTGAGAGCACCACTGGCAGAATCACCCACACACCCAGCCCCCACATCTCCCAGTCGACCGCTACCAGCGAACTGGCTCTCAGGTGAGAGAAGAGTAAAAACCATCTATTTACTGGAGATAATTCAAGGCTAGAGGAAGAAAGCACAGCCCTGAGCTTTGCTGTCTGGTTATTTAACAGGCTTGACCCACACCTCTCTAAGACACTACCTGCACTCTCTGCCGAGTACCCGGCCTGGCACATGCCAAAGCCTGCTCAGAAGCCAAATGATGTCGTGTGTCTTTTGAAGGAGGCCCTTCACCCAGCTGTAACGTTTTTGGGCCACCCTTCTTTTGAATTATGGGGCTGCATCTTGGTGCTTCTGCTAGGCAGGGGGGCTGCGCCTCTTCCAAGCACCTTTTAAAGCCAGAGGATTTTCCAAGCTTTTCCCCCCGACATCTCCAGCTCCGTTTTCAAAGCTGGGAGCGAGCTATTTGGGGAAGCGCAACCATCAACCGTGGAGAAAGATGGATCTTCCCCACCTGCAATCAAAGAAAAGCGACGCTTCTCTGCGCTCAAGCACGGGGAGAGCAGGCAGCCACCTCTTCTCAGCTGACACGCGCAAAACAGCAGCATTTTTAGCACAAAGCCATAGCCAGCCCCTGCGAGAAGGCAGCGTGCAGTGAAGCTGATCAGCCATAGGATGTCCCCACCACAGCAAACCACGCCAGGTAGGCTTGTGCTGCTGACAAGGGGAGGACTGTACGTGAAAACAGACGGTGGGTTCAAACACCACCCCATCTGCTGACCCTGGGGCTCTGACACTACTGCACAACGCCAGCACACACGTCAAGCTTCATCACAGCGCCGGCTACACGCTCAACTGCAGTCCCCCAGATCCCGTGCCACCAAACTGGGAACAAAGCTGTGACTCGCAGGGTGCTCTATAGGAAAGCGTGTATCAGATGTCTGCCTTGCCCGCGTACTAATGACTCCACACCTCGCCAGCTTCTGCCCCAAGCAATCATGCCAATCCCCAGGACTAAAAATAAAGCACGCAGGGTGACAATGACTACAGGGAGGAATAGTGGCCTGATTCCCCAGCACAGCTGGGCACTACAGCTGTCTGGCTGCATTCCTGCCACAGACAAACAACTGCACTTTCGCCCCAGGCTCCCTGCTCAGTCTGGGGGAGCCTCTGACACCCCAGGGACAGGGAACCCTGGGTTCAGCCAGGCCACGCTCTGCCAGCCAGGGACTGGGACTTGGATCCCTGCTGATTTCCAGCCAGGCCTGAAATACAGGCTGTCCCACTGGTAGGGCCTTCCCGGGAGAACACCCACTCTAAGCCAGGCTCTTACCCTTCTACCCTGTGGCACAGAAGGTGCACGGCCACCTCAGAGGGTAAATGGATTGGAGAAGGGTTTCCAGGTTATGAACTTTACCAGCCTGAAAGGATTGGGGCAAGGAGATGGGAAGGAAAGGATTGTGTGCAGTGGGTTCTCCTCAGGGTTTGAGGCAAAGAGAGTAAGGAGGTGGTGGCCCTGGGCCTGAGGGAGAGGGGTCTCTCCTGGGGCCTGTGAGGAACAGGACAGGGTCCTTTCCCTGAAAGGAAAGCACACAGGGACAGAGATCTCTCCAGAGCCTGAGGACTCACAGCCATTACCAGGCTTGATGGAAGCAGGGGAATCACAGGGAGGCACCGCCAGGGGAAGCAGGGGCAAGGAGGACCAGGCCTGAGGGGAAGGATCCCTCCGAGGCCTCTACCACTCTGGTCCCACCTCACTGAGGCTGAGGGAAACAAGGATGCTGAGACTAAGGGAAAAGGGTCTCCCCCACCACAACCACAGGCCTTACTGGGGCTCAGGAAACAGGACACGCAACAAGTTTTGGGTTCTGAGGGAACCGGGGGAGGGCTGACACCGACCCGAGCCGGAGAGGGCCGGCAACCGAGGCCTGAGGGGAAGGGCGGCAGGGAGGCTGGCAGCAGTCGGCAACGGAGTGAGGAGAAATGGCGGCCTGAGGGGATCGGTGGGGCGGGAACAGCGACCGCGGCCTGAGGGGAGCGGGGCCCGGAGAGGGAGTAGGCGGCCGCCGGCGAACCCCTTACCTGCATGACGACCTCCACCTCGTAGGCATTGCCCTTGCTGCGCTGCTGCCCGCGGAATTTGGCGCCGCTGTAGAGCAGCGAGGTGGCCACGCCGGGCTGCGCCGTGTTGATGGGGGGCGGCGGCACCAAGCTACTGGCGGCCGCTCCGGAGGCCGGCGAAGAGGCCGAGCCCGCCGCTCCGCCCGCGCGGCACCGCTCGCTCCGCACCGGCATCTCAGGAGGGTCCCCGGGCGCCAGCGTGGACCGGGGGCCGAGCGCGGCCGGGGGCGCCGCCCGCTCCGCTCCGTTCCCTCACGCCGAGGCCGCCGCCACCGCCGCCTGGCTCAGGGGCCTCCCGGCAGCGCCTCCGCGCGCTCCCATTGGCCCTCGCGTGCGCTGCGGGAGGGGCGGTGCCGCCCACCGATTGGCCGCGGCTGCGAGGGACGCGCTTCCTCCCGGCAGGCGCGGCCGCGGGTACTGCTGGGAAATGTAGTTTTTTCCCGACTATCCGCGGCGGGACGGGGCGGGCGAAGGGACAAAACGCGCTCGCGGCGCGGATTGGCTGCTGCCCCGGCAACATGGCGGCGCCCGCGGAGCCGCGCTGAGGCGGGAGGGTGGCGGTGGTTCCTCTTCGTCCTTCGTCGCGATGTGGCGCGGCTGTCGCCAGCTCTTGTGGGGTCGCTCCCCGCTCGCCCGTTTCCCCCGTCCGCCTCCCGCTGCTGCCGGGAGAGGCCCGGTGGGGTCGGGCGGGGGTCGGGCTTACGCCCCGCCGGCAGGTGAGGGAACGCGGGGCCGCCCGAGGGTCTCTCCAGCCCCCTTCGGGGAGTGGGGGGCCTTCCCTGGCCCGGTGAGGCCGGTCCCGCCGGGGGAACTCCCCCCCGCTTCGGTGACACCCCTCAAGGTCACCCCGGGACAGGGGAGGGCTGGGCTCGGGGCGGGTGGAGACACGGGAAAGTGTCAAACCGCCCCCTGCGGTGGGGCCGGGAGCGGTGGCAGCAACAGCCCCGCCGGGCCCGGCCACCCCAAGGGCTTGTAGTATCTCCAGCGACGTGGCCCAGGTGCTGGGCCTCCCCCAGTACCCGTCTCCTGGCGTTAGTGGGGGCTCGGAGGGGGGGGATTCTCTGGCGGCATGGCCAGATCCCCAGTGCACCATTTTGTGTTTGTGTTTTGGTGGTTGTTCCAGGTTTTGGGGGGATAGGGGTACGAAGATGATGAGGGGCCTGGAGCATCTCCCTTACGAGGAAGGGCTGAGGGACTTGGGTCTTTTTAGTCTGGAGAAGAGAAGGCTGAGGGGGGATCTGATCAATGCTTATAAATACTTAAAGGGTGGGTCTCAAGAAGATGAGGCCAGTCTTTTTTCAGTGGTGCCCAGGGCCAGGACAAGAGGAAATGAGCACAAACTTGAATATAAGAAGTTCCATCTAAACATGTGGAGGAACTTCTTCACTTTGAGGGTGGCAGAGCCCTGGAACAGGCTTCCCAGAGAGGTGGTGGAGTCTCCTTCTCTGGAGACATTCAAACCCCACCTGGACAAGTTCCTGTGGGAGCTGCTCTGGGTGGACCTGCTTTGGCAGGGGGGTTGGATTAGATATCTCCAGAGGTTCCTTCCAACCCCATGTGATTCTGTGACCCAGCTGGGGTGGTTCAGGCACATTCCAGGCCATGTATGCCCTCCATAGGTTTTGCTGGAAACATGTGGGTTTGAGGACAGTAAAATTAGTCTTCTGTCTGAGGTGAGGCTGTAGAGTCTTGGTGACTTGTTGCAGGGTGTCAGAGCCCACTGATGTGACTCAGGGCTCCTCTGGGGTACACACGTGTTAATCCTTTCAGAACTGTGCCTTGACAGGGTGTTTGGGGTTTTTTTGAGGTCACTGAACCTGAGCAAATCCTGTTCCATTTCCCCAGTGGGAATGTGCTTTCTTTTTTTTTTAGCTTAGAATAACAGACCTGCAGGCCAGCCCGCTCACTTCATACCTCTCGAGGTAGATTTATGAGTTTGGGGTTTACGATCTGGTCGCTGGCATCAGGAGAACGGTTTGTGTGAGAGATACAAGCTTTTGCAACGTGTGTAATCTGGCTCTCGGGTGCTGGGATTGCGTGATACCGTGCTGATTTCACAGGAGGCTGTTTTTAAAACAGAGACCTGCAGTTCCCTCAGGCTCCCCTTGCTGGTGGAGCCGGCGTACTCCCCACCCGGAGCGGGGTGTGTGGGCTGGAGGCAGCTGCGGGAGGTGGTTCCTCTGCTGGTGACTCAGTGTCATGCTGTGGTGTGTCGCTGACACCATCCAGCTGTTACTGCATGTGCCTGCAATAAACCTGCCCCCGTGGGTGGTCGTGGTGGAGGGAACAGTGTCCTTCCCTTCATCCCTCGAGCCTCCCAGCAGTTGTGGCTCTTCCAGCGGGTTCATCGGCTGCAGGTCAAAGGAAATGATGAGGGAGAGCGTGTGGGCTGGCACCGGGTGGGTTTGTCATCATCGGGCATGGAAAGAGATGTTGCTGTAGCCTGTCCTGCCTCTAACCCAGCTCTGCTGGGTTTCTGATCACTCTGAGGCAGAACATGCAGGAAGAGAGAGTTAGCCAGGGTGGTTCAGGGATTAATTTGTCAAATGTGGTTGCAGTTGGAGAAGCTTGAAATATTGAGTCCACAGTGAAACTCTAGGAGTGCTGGGACAGATCTGCTTGGAAACTGCCCCTTGCCAGACTCTAGAAACTCGGTGCCGGCCAGTTTGAAGGGAGCTGAGAGCCCAGCCTGGCAGAAGTGAAGCTGGTCCCATTCACTTGCTGACTGGTTTTCACCAGTTTCATGGTGCTTCCCCAGTTGAGTGGATCTTGCTGAAATGGTGTAGCACTTGGAAGCTGTGGATGAATGGGCTGGATGTTTTGTGGCCAGGCCACCTCGATAGCACTGAGGGCTCCATCTGTTCTGGGCTGGGATGGGGAGCAGGGGAGGGGACTGAATCTCCTCTAACTGTCCTCTGAATGGCTCTGTTTTTGCCTCCAGAGAGGAAGCGGTTTTACCAGAATGTGAGCATCTCTCAAGGAGAAGGTGAGTACGGCCACAGGGACAGCACGGAGGGGCTGTTCCCTGGGAGGGGGGTTATCAGCCCATGCTGCTCCAGCGAGAGCACGGCACACCTGCAGCACAGACTGTGCAAGTCGGGTATTTGTCACCAGCCTGCTGTGCCCTTTCCTCATCAATAGCAAAGCTGTGTGGCAGGAAACAGCTTCCAAGACTGTTGTGGGTAAAAAAAATGTTGAAGTGATGGTGGGAAACTTGAGTATCCCTGGTCCCGTGCTCCCATCAGCTCTGGCTCTGAATCTGCTCCCACTGTGGGGTTGTCTGTTGTTCCTTAGTGCCTGCTCCTCTTTGATTCCCCAGGATTTATACTCTGATTCCCCAGGCGGCTTTGAAATAAACCTGGACCACCGAAAGCTGAAAACGCCCCAGGCCAAGCTCTTCACTGTCCCCAGCGAGGCCTTGGCCATTGCAGTGGCAACGGAGTGGGACTCCCAGAAGGACACCATCAAGTTCTACACTATGCACCTGGTGAGCACGGCAGGTTGGGATGCTGAGACCTCGGCAGGGTAGAACGCAGTGTGCTGGGAGCGGTCAGGTCAAGGAAATCAGGATTAAAGATAGGGAATTGAAATGATGAGGACTAAAGATGGTTTTGCCAAGCTTTGAATAATAACGGTTTAAACTGTCTTTATCCCACAGACCACGCTGTGCAACACGGCCCTGGACAATCCCACGCAGCGAAACAAAACGCAGCTGATCCGTGCGGCCGTGAAGTTCCTGGAGACTGACACCATCTGGTACGAGATGGGGACCCCGCTGGCACAGAGGCGAGGTTGTTTTGTCACCATGTGGTTTTTGGAAAGGTGGCTGGGGAGGAGTGAGGGAAAATGTGTACCGTAGCCCAGTCATGGCAGGGCTCTGATCTCTCCTGGTTTTGACCTAAGGGTTTGAATTCATTTAGGCCAGACTTATATCTGCAAACTTCCTCAAAAAACCAAAAAGCTCTGAATTTGTGGAAGAGCTGGGGGACTGTTCCCAACCGCTGCCTGGGTGGACAGTAGGCCCTTGTTCCCTTTGCTGTGGGCTCGGGGGGGAAAGGTTCCTTCCCAGAGGTGTGCCCCAGTCTGGCAGCCTGGGAGTGCACATCCAGTGTGGTTTTGTTCTGCAACGTCCCAGCTATCGTGTGGAGGAGCCACCTGCCTTGGCAGAGCTGCAGAAGAATGAATGGGATCCTGTTGTCGCCTGGGCTGAGAAAAGGTAAGAGGTTAAAGATGTTTCTGTCTGCTTTTGCCCTGCCCTGCTGAGACCAGGAGCTCTAGTGCTGCAAGGTCCACAAGCCCTGTGCTTGTCTAAGGAGCCGGGTGATCGTTCCAGGTACAACGTGGCAATTGGCTCCTCGACCAGCATCCTGGGGCCAAATATCCCAGCCAGCACCAAGGAGACCTTCGTCAGCCACCTGGCATCCTACAACATGTGGGCCCTGCAAGGTGAGAGAGGCTGCACCAGCGGAGGAGGCGGTTCCTCTCCACAGGGGAGAAAAGTGACTGTCATGTTTTTCCTCTCCCACTGATATGCTGAGATAATCAGGGTGTTTTATGTTTTAAAACTCCAAGCCAGTCCCTTGGCTGTATTTGCTAGGCACAGGGACTCTCCCCTTAGTGCCACTGGTGTTCAGGGTCTGGCTTTGCTGGCCTACGAGTTGTCTGCTCTACCCTGGCACAAATAACTTCTTTAATAACTTCAGACTTTCTAGTGGTCTAGTGCCCAGCTTTGTTACCAGGAAAAGGAATGGTATTTATTACTCCAAGTGCCATGGCTCTGTGCATTGCCCTCACACTTTCACCCTCATAGCCCACTTGATCTTACGTGATAGTGCTGAATGATGCTTAAGAAATTAAGTAATGTTTGCTTTGCTCAACTCCTCAAATGCAACATTCAAATAAGCAACAGTGAAACCCACAGATGACACTAGCTGAGCAGCTAAGGAAGGGTATTGGGGACAGGACTCCTGGGACAGGACTTGCAAAGCCTTCCTGTTACCCTGTAAAGATATTATTTGATGAATAATTTATTATATGGAAGGGAAAGGCATGTGCCTCCCCTGGGGAAGGGGAGGCTCTGGCCAATCAGTCAACTTTACACCTGAAACTCCAGGTTTGGCATAGACTGGTAGCGCAGCCTGACTTCAGTTCCTTCCTTAGACCCTGTCCCTACGCAGTCACCTCCTTTTCCTGTCAGCTTGAGCTGGTCCACGAGTGCTCAGCAGCTCAGAGCTTTGAACCCTTCTTTCCTCCTCCTCCTGGCGATGCGTGTCTGTGGGGTTTGCTCCGGTCCCTCAGCCATCAGGCACTGGCTTTCCTCCCCTGCAGAGGGGTGTCTCTCCAGCCAGTAGCTGGTGGTGTGGCAGGAGAGAGCTCTGCTGTTTTAGCAGCCAAGCCCAGCAGCTGTGTCCTTTGCCGACACTGTTCTCCTGGGGCACAGCACAGCACACACATTTGCACAGCGTTTTTCTACGCGTGATTATAGATGTGGGCAGCTCTTTTATCACCCACCAGTATACAAGTCCTTCTCACCCTGGACTTTTCAGCTGAGCTCCAGAATACTTGGGCGTGGATGGATATCCCTTCCCTTTGCACAGGGCAGGTTTGTGGCAGAATAATGGGAGGCAGTTTCAAAGGCACTTTGTCACTGCGGTGACAGCGGCCAGAACAGCGCTTTGTCTCTGCCCTTAACTGCAGATCTCATGCTCAAGTGCCCAGATGCAAGTGGGAGGTATTGCTGTCCCTGAGGAGGTACCACACCCCGACTGTCTCTTCAGAGCAAGCGAAGATGCTGCTGCAACGCTGCAGAAAGCAACTGTGAATCTTGTTTGTTTTGGGTTATTCTCTTCCAGGTATAGAATATGTAATCACCCAGCTGAAATCTCTGATTCTGTCCATGGGACTGATTGACAGGCACATTACAGTAGAGAAAGCTGTGCTTCTCTCTCGCCTGGAGGAAGAATACCAGGTAAATGATGTTGCGGAACAGCCCTATAATTCAAGTAGCAATAATCTCAGCGTGACAAATGCATCTCCCACCACAAATAACTGGCAAGGGAAGTGCCTGCTATTGCAGGAGAGGTTCCACTCCACCAGTCGCCCCGTTTGAGAGTTTGGAGGGCACTGCTGTAGAGCAACATCATGGGCACAACAGCCCAGAGTGCTCCCGGAGCTGCCAGTTCTCTTTTTCCAGAGCCCAGATGGCTGATTTTTTCCCTCTAATCTGAAGTGTAAAGTCGTGGCTGGCTTCTCTTGCTGTGGGTTATCCAGCCTGGAGGTCTTGGTAGACACCAAGATAATAACTTGCTTGCTGGAAACTGGCCTGGCGTGAAGCTCTCCCTGACCCAAAAGTGGCTGAACTTGATGGGAATCTTTCCATCCTCCCTTTAAGGGGCTTTGCCTCAGGTGCCAGTACAGATGAAGCGTGTCCTCCATACTCATCTGGAGATCTCCCCACCCCCCTAGGCGGTGATTGGCACAGCTCCTGGGGGGGTTACCCGTGTTTCACAAACATGAAAAGGGAGGCTGAGAGTTGCTGAGCAGCTCTATGTGTAATCCAGTTCTGAACTGACTCGCGTTCCTCCTCTCCTCCAGATTCAGCGGTGGGGCAACGTGGAGTGGGCCCATGACTATGACCTGTGCGAGCTGCGTGCTCGCGCGGCGGCTGGGACTCTCTTTGTTCACCTCTGTTCGGAGAGCTCGACCGTAAAACACAAGCTGTTGCAGGACTGAGGCTGCTGGGCTGGGCACAGGAGGAGAATGTCCAGCTGTGAACTGCTAGTGTGACCCAGGGGACGGTAACCACCCTCCTGTCACCACGGCATGACCCAGGGGATGGTAACCACCCTCCTGTCACCACACCTTCCCTGGGATCAGCCTGGTGCTGAGGAGCTGTGGCTTTGTGGGCATCTCCTCGCTTGGACTGCCTGCTGCAGTGCAGCGCCAGCAGTTTTGAGCCCAGAAGGAGGAAAGGTCAAGGTGAGCTTCCTCTGCATCCCCGAGACAGCAGCTCTGTCCATTCCCGGTGTCTGGAGCTCATCAGAGGAGCTCCCATGAAAGAAACAGCTTCCTGGGCAGGGTGCGGCACAGACATACCCAGCATATGCCACATGTCTTCATAGCTGCCAGCTCCTGACACACACTTGTTATGGAAATCTGAAAACAGACTCCATTGCATCTGTTCTTCATCCCTCAGTGTGCCTGTATGTAACACCAGGGTCTCTCCGTTTGATTAAAGGCACGCCCCTGCGAGATACTGAAAGCCAATGCTGCTGACTATTTCTTTGTTTTAATCATCAAACTGTGGTGTTGGTCCTGAGCTGCCAGGCTCCAGGCAAGTGCTGGGATGGCTGCAGGCAGGGAAAAAAAATGGGAGCAGAGCTGAGTAGACACTAAACTACCAAACAGATCTGCTCCCCACGCATCTCTGTGTGAGCCTCTCTGTGCTCGGTGCCCTGTCCTTGCAGCCAAGGAGTAGCAGGGAGCTGACTGTGCGGTCCTGGAGCGAGAAGCAGGGGGGGAACCTGGGCTTCTGCCATCTTCAGAAGCACAGGGTACTACAAGCTAAATCTGTATGTGACAGGCAGCACCTGCCACAGGGCTTTCGGAGAGACCTGGCCTCTCCCCAGCGTGCGTATTGCAGCCACCCTCTCATTTAACCTTCCCACCTTTCTCCTTGCTGCTTGCCCGGAGCAGCACCGCCCCAACCGGCATCGTTCCTCAGAAGCTGCCCACAAGTGAGCAGAGCAGCTGCTGTCACTGAGCAAGGAGGGGAATTAATGACTCCTCGCTTGGCTGTTGTGAGCGGCGGTGTGTGAGCTCCTCTGGAACCATTGATTTCCCTTCCTGCTAGCTGGGGGCTGCTCTGCTCAACGCTGCAGAAAGCTGCTTTTTGCAAGAGGTGGTGAGAAGATGAGGCTCCCAGGCACGCAGAGCCCCCGCCAGCCTGGTGGTTGCTGAGCTGGAAAGCTGCTGTTATCTCGGGGGTGGTTTGATGGAGAGCAGCCCTCTCCCGGGCTGCTGCCGGGTGGCTCACAGGTTCCTACCCCCGTGCTTGCAGGTACTAAAGCTTTCAGGCATGATATGCTATGATGGTTTGGTTCAATCAGCTCACAGCTGATCCATAACCCCTTGTGGCCAGGTTTGAGCTCTGTGCCAACGTGATGGAAGAGACAGAGCTTCATATGCTTTTTCCGGAGTCAATAAGTATCTTTTATTTGCAGTTTATGGTGAGGTGAAAGTGTGCCTTTGGCCTGAAATGTCCCAGGCAGCTCAGGCACAGAGAGGCAGCCATCTCTGCTGGGTGTGCTGCTGCTGGGGGCTGTCCTGTGTGCCTCCCCAGCTCACAGGAGACCTACACTATCGGCTCCATGATCTCTATGTCATCCAGCTCCTCCTGGAGATTGTCGATGTACTGAACGATCTCTCTGATACGCTTGCGGTTTCTGTCGATCTCATTTTGGGCAGCCTGAACAGATTGAAACCGAGCAGTGAATCTGCAGGCTTGTCAGGGTCCCCTGCTGTGTCACAGAGGGCTCCAGCAGAAGGTTAGGGAACATCTCTCCTAGCACTGTCCCCACCACTTGGGCCAGACGTGTCTGTGCCCCATCCACTTGAGCAGGAGAGTCTCTTACCTTCTCCGTCATGGAGGTCTGCCAGTGGTTGATGTTGCTGAGGATGTCGCTCTCTCGCTTATCGATCTTCAGCAGGTGGATGCCATGGGACGTGTTGACTGCGTTGACAATGGTGCTTTTGTCCACGAGAAGCTAGGAGGTAACGTGACCGGGTGAGGGGAGGAAGGTGGGCACGAAGCAAAAGCAGCAGAGCTCAGAACTATCAGCACAGTAACTGTAGTGCTTTAGGGGGAAGAAAACCTCCCTCTGTTTCAGCCTGACAAAGCCCTAGTCACCAGAATACACTTTGCGAGGATGTGCCTGGGAGTATTCCCAGTGCAGGTGGGGAAACTGAGGCAGCAGCCGTGTCCTCACAGACTGGAGGAAGGAGCAAAAGGCTGCTGCTGGGGGCTGTGCTGCCCGCAGGCTGCCTCGCAGCACACAGCAGACCCTGTGGGCAGCTGGTGTTGGAGCACGACAGCATATGCTCCATCACGCCTGGCCCAGCAGGTGCGGGAAGTGGAAAATCGCTCTTGGAAGGGTCTCTTGCTCTGGTGGCATTGGCTGTAAATTTTCATTTTTTTTTTTTTTTGGAGAGTCCCAGCTTCTAATCGAAGCAGTGACTTCCCCTGTGGCTGTAAATAGAGGGTGGCTTCGCTAAACCGTAATGACTCTCCTCCTGCAGCCAAGTGCAGCTGTTGAACAAATGAAGATTGCTTCTCCGTGGCAATGGATGGCAGCGAGGCAAAATGGGTGCACGGCAACGGCGCGGAACTGCCGCCATCTGCACAGGCCATAAAGCAGGGAGCTCCCCCCGGGGAGGCTGAGGGGTCTGGTTTGTGTCTGTCAGCGCTTGATTACCTGGAGTAACGCAGGGGCTGGGATAATCTGGACAGAGCAAAACCACAGCCAATGCAAATCTTGAGTCATTTAGTCACTAAATGAAGGAATAACACAGGGGCAAAGAGGTCAGCGGCGTTGCTGACTGGAGCACTGCAATGATCTTTGTGCTTTCTGAAAGGCTCCTGGGACCTTTGATATCACAGCAAGACTGAGGGCTCAGTGGAAGGCTGTTTGAAATGTCATGTCCTGCCTCCAGATCAGCTCACGGGGAGCTCTAGGAAGGGCTTTTGAAATCCCCAAGGCAAAGAGAGTCCCGGTGCAAGGAAGTCAGAGTGGTGTTCGGGTTCTCCTGGGGGAGTAGGGAGAATCTGAACAAAACCAGCTGTGAGTGCAGCAAAGATGCTGCTTAAGTGCCTGCTGGGTTGGGGCTGCCTGGAAATCAGCCAGAGGAGCGAGTTGTGCTGGAGGCAGGAGAGAGACTTGCTCAGCACCTCCCCTGGGCTGCTGCCACCAGCTCTGGCAGACCTGCAGTGCAGTTGTACCCTCTGTCCTCGTCAGCAGAGATGTCCGACAGCACTGCAGTTCTGCCAAGCAGCTGGGGCCTCTGAGGAGGAGGTAATGCTCTGGTTTCACCATGACTTTAGCACTATTCACTTCTGGAAACCCTGTCTCTTCTGAGGAAAGGCTGTGGCCTCCTCTTCTTGCCAACTTCCTAGCAGAGATTAATTTTTTGGTGCCCTCACCATTTGAACATCATCTGGCAAATCCTCGTCAAGCTCATTCTTGAGTGATTTCTCCAGTGTGGTGATGGAGATCTCTAGCAGCTCTTCATGGTGACGGTTTTCCAGGTCCCGGCACTGGGTCATCGTAGAGAAGATGGTTAAGGAAAAGGCTGACCACAGCACTCTACTTCTAGAGATTAGATGACCTCCTGTAACCAGAGACTGAGCATCCACACAGCAGGCCTCCACAGGAAAGAGCCTGGCTGCTGCCAGAAGCTACTGTGATGTCAGGATATACACTTTCTGCTCTTCATTGCACCTCACACACAGCAGGTCTCATCCTCACTGCCATCTATTATGCAGAACTGAGAGTGGGCCTAGGTCTGCAAAGGAAATTGCAGGAGGTCTCTCTGCATACAGTGCAATTATTTGCACTAGGACAACAGATTTCTATATTTAGAGTAGTGTAACCTGTCACTGAAGTGCTTTGGTGTTCTCATCTCAGTTCCAGAAGACATCAATACCACAAAAATGAACACAACAATTTAAAGAAACTTCAACAAGAATTGTAGGTATTTCATTGCCTGCTGTGGCAAGAATGGACATAGAAAAGTCTAACCAGCTCTTCCCAGAGTTTTGTCATGGCTGTGTGGAGAGGAAAGGAAGATTCCCAAGGAGGAGAAAGATGCATAAGTCCTACAGACTTTCAGCACAGGAGAACTTAGATCCTTTTGTGCTCTCCAGAGTCTCCACAGAAAGGAACTGGCTACCTTAACCATTTCTGCAAAGCTGGGAAAAGACCTTTTCTGTTGATTTAAAAAAAAAATAAAATATATATATATCAAATTCTACACTGATGGCTCATTTCTGGATTTAGAAGTGAGATATGTCACCAGGAGGTCCAGGCCAACATACTATCAAAAGGATATATCCCTTTAACATTTTCAATGAACGTTGATGCTATGACAGCAATGTTACTTTTAAAATCCTTTATTAGTTCCTTAACAGAAAGAAAAAGAGGAAATATTACAATGAAAACTTGCATAAACATAAAAAGGAGTCAGGGAGTCTAGGAAGAATCAACAACTGATTATAATTTGGATTCACTGCTGTTATTAGCACAGTCAGAAACCGCACTGCCTCAAGCATTTAAAAGTGTTTTGAAAGTGCTGCAAGATTTTCTTTCCTCGTTCATGGACAGAAAATGATAATCAGTTTATTGGAGGGAAGCTGACTGAGTGATACCTTTACCTGTTGTCTGGAGCAAGCCAGCTGATCCTTTTTTTACCCTCACTTAAGGAACGCACGGAGAGTGCTGTATTCCCTCATACTGCCACGCTGCAGTCTCCTTGTGGGGATGAAGAACCTCTCATCGGAAGCGTAACCAATGCCTGGGCTTACTGCAGCTTTTGTTTTAGTCCTCAGAAACTAAAATTGCTACTGCCCTCTCTCAAAAATGGCTGATGGAGAATGTGTGAAGCGTTGTACTTAAAATGTCTTGATACAACAGCTCCAATACAGCCACTCAAATCCTGCAAATCCAGAAGGGGCTGCAGGGAGAGACATTTCTGCTCACTCTATCAGCGACTGCAGATACACGAGGACCAATTGAGAAAACACTAAAAAGGCACAATCCTGATGGAATGAGGAATCCATTTTGAGCTGCTGCTTTCTGTCATGCACCTTCACAAAAGTAAACTGCTGCATCTGCTTGCACACAGGCCACAGCTCCTGTATGCTAATTTTTAAACAGCTTACTTTTTTTTTTTTTTTTTAATGAAGATGCACATGAGCAGCCCTGCCCTAGTTTTTGAGGAAAAGTCTGGGGAGAAAAAAAGGCAGCTATTATGCAAGCAAATACAGTAAGCTGAGCAGGAATGTGTGTAATCTTATTCATAGCAAAGATCAGCTTCAAAGAATTACATCTCCAGAATCCCCAAATGCATAACCCATGCAGGTCTGTACGCAGACCTATAAAACAACTGAATGACCCCAAGTCCCTTTCTCTAAAGTCTAGGAAATCAGCTTGGATAGATGTGAAGGACATACTGGGCCTGATCTCACTCAGATCAACTTTGAGCAGAAAAGA